GTGTATGTTAGAATGTGCATGTGTGAGGAAAAGTGGAGAACGTGAGAGAGAAGGGTAAACGAGCAAGGGAGAAAGAGGAGTGACCGTATGAGCATAGGTCTGTGTGTGTGTTTGTGTATGTGTCAGTGTGTGTGTCTGTGTGTGTATGTGTGTATGTGTGTGTATGTGTGTGTGTATGTGTGTGTGTGTGTGTGTATGTGTGTGTGTGTGTGTGTGTGTGTGTGTGTATGTGTGTGTGTGTGTGTGTGTTTAAATTAATGTGGCATCCTGTACAAAAACTTATGTCGCCAAAGCTGAAAAAAGTACACTTTTTATTCCTTCCAGGTGGAAGATGAATAAAAGACTACTTATGTTTATAATTCTTCAACTCTAAAAGAAACACGTTTTGCCTTTATGGAAGTCAGAAAATTTCTCGAAGAACAGTATGCAGTTTGCTCATTCCCCTCACTGAAATCCCTTTACGCCTTTAAAACGGCAAAAAGAAGCGGGCCACATAATATATCGAAAGGTCTCTGTTTACACTCGGAGTCACTGTCTCTCATAGGTGGCGCAGTCTATCATAGGTACCTATTTTCTACTGTCTGGAGATATTCATCTGCATGTATTTCCTTTCAACAGAGGAGAGAAAGAGCTAAACACGGAGCTAAACCTATGATGATACATTTTACTTTTATTCACTTTTATAATTTTTCACACAAGTAAGGTAACTCTGTTTGCAAAGTCCGCTCATTTGCGAAGAGGGCTCCACCGAATTTTGAGGACACTTTTTTTATTAGCTCAAATACAGGAGAGGACCATCTTGTTATGTATCATCATTGGCTAAACTAAAGATTGTACACTTCAAGATGGTTCACTGCTCTCTCCTTGCCTATTTAAAAAAGTTCCCTCAAAATCACGGTGCCACTCTGCCAAAAAAAAAACCGCGTGCTTTGCGAACAGTTGACTATGGAAGTATAGGGAAGATATACTTACCTCAAACTGCAGTTATGTCGTATGAACATTTTATGGCTTGGTTTTGGGTTTTTTAAGCTAATAATGAATGTTGCAACATGTGAAGGTCCTACTCTCTTTGAAAAGTCGTTTATAGGCTTTTTAGAGCTCGGTTTATTGGCGCCGCCGCTCACCGCTCACCGCTCTACCTAAACCAATAAACAGCAGTCGATCTGATTGCCTAAGGGGGTGCTAAAATTCTATTCTTCTCCTCGAGAAACGAAAGGGAGCTTCTGTGGCGCCTCAGAGGAAAAACTCATACAGCCGCGGACACTTTTTTGGCTGAGTGAACCATCTTGTAGTGGATCTTATCCTAAACCAATGGCCAAACATTAATATAATTCACGATAGAGTACACATATCGATAACTGAACAGTCCGGTTGAAAATGAAATTCTAAACATATTGACAATGCTAGGACAACATCCCAAAACACCCCCTAAAACCCTGATTTTAATCGCTAAATGAAAAATCATTTAAAAGAGCCAAAGTAGACATAGTAAGGGAGACTCTAAGAGAAAAAAAGTGAAACTGACCCACTGACCCTCCTATATGCTGTATATAGTCACCGACCCTGCTGTATACTGTGTGTGTATGCAT